TGTGGAAGTCAAACATCTGTCCACCACAAACATCTGCAGGCCTTCAGTGTGTTGGACTGGATGAAATCCCATCCTCAGATCAGATCCAGATCTCAAAGTTTCCAAAGTGCAGGAATGGTTTTTTTCCAACCTTACTTTTCCCTCCTAAGCCTGTTTCAAGTGGACACCAAGCTGGACTTTGCTGCTTTGCACCAACAGCGAGCTGGCTGGCGTGGAGCAAGTCCCCCCAAAAATATCCTGGTGACACTGACTCTGTGTCCTTGGGCAAACAGCTCTATATTTTCTGGGATTAGCCACAAGAGGGTGGCATGAGGATGTGCACCAGGCAGCCTCCCTGCTTCGCTGCATGGCATTTTATAGCCAGCTCTGTAGATCCAATAAAACTTCAGAACAGATCCTTATTTTTGGCATATGAACACATTTCCCACTACAAAGGAGTCTGATGGGTGTTTCTGATGGCAGCACTGGCTGTTCCTTGATGTTACATGTGCTCTTTATACTTAAAACCAGGCTTAGTTAGTAGGTACCACAGCAGCACATAAAATTTAGACTATTTAGGAATCCAAACTTTTATTGGTCCTTGGTAACTGCTGTAGGGAGAAGTCCACAGATGTTGTTTATAAACTAATATTATTTTTCATGGTCCTGCACGTTTATAAGACAGTGATGTTCCACACAACTGCTCTGTAACACGTCGGGATGGTTCTTGTAAGGTTTTATTTGGTTGTAGCTGACAGTGAACAAGCCCATTAAAAAATATGCACAAAAAAGACTCAGTGACAGGAAGAGAGACTGACTGAAATGGAGCAGACTCATTTCATTTGAAACCTGCCCAGCCTGGATTGCCTTGACATGTTTTTTTCTGAATCAGACTGTCAGTAACCCAACCCAGGTCACTCATCTTGAATAATCACAGAATCAAAGAATGGTTTGGGTTGGAAGGGACCTTAAAGATCATCTTGTTCCCACCCCCTGCCCTAGGAAGGGAGACCTTCCACTATCCCAGGTTGCTCCAAGCCTTGTCCAACCCGGGATGGGGCAGCCACAGCTTCTCTGGGCAACCTGTGCCAGGGCCTCATCACCCTCACAGGGAAGAATTTTTTCTTAATATCCCATCTAAACCAACTCTCACTTTGAAGCCATTTCCCCTTGTTCTGGCACTCCATGCTCTTGTAAAGAGTCCCTCTCCACCTTTCTTGTAGGTTCCCTTCAGCATCAGTCGTTGTGTCTCTGTGTAAGGCACATTCACATTTGATTTTCCAAAGCCTCATTGGGGTGTCCCAGGAAGAGCAAGGAACAGGGCACTGGGACATCCAGGTAACAACACAAATCAAGGAGCAAAAAACCCCACTCCCAGTTTGATGTGCAAAGCTTTGTAAATGCTGGAACTTTTTTACCTTACTTTAACATGATAGTTTTCCATGTGCAGGCAGAGAGGTGATGTTGGTGCTCAGAATCCACCCTCCCCTCGCTCCTGCTCCATAGCCTGGCACTCTCTGCATCAGAACTCCCCATCTTCCATCCTTCTGCAGGGTTTGAGTCTCTGCTCCCCCGTGGCTCTGGCTGTAGGACCAGGGCCCTTGAATGCAGAAATCCCTTTTGCCATGAACGTATTTTAAATACAAGCTTCCGAATCTCATTACGTGCTGCCTTTTCCTCTTCCATTCATTTTCCTCCTAACAATGCACCTGCCAATATCTGCCCCTGAGCTCCATTTTAAGCAGCGTTTTCCATAGTTAATGTCACACTCTTGCTCCCAATCTATCTTTGGCAAGGACCAGAGGAAGAGGGAAAGCCCTCCCTGGGTATAACAATAACACAACACCCATTCCTGGAAGAATGATGAGATAGGCTGTGTCATAAATATTTATAAGAGCGAGTGTAATGAAATGGATGTGTGGGATGCTGAGTCTCCCTTAGGGTTTGGTCATCACATGTTTTTCCCCTCTTTTCTTTCTTCTCTGTGATACAGAATTGTCCTGATGTCCCCGGGTTGTCGAGCAAATTGCTCATTGTGTTGCTCACTTACACAATGCATGTTATTATGTGCAGCCAGCTGCTCCTGTTTGGCATTGCTGGCGCATACGGAACAGGAGGCTACCGCCACTTTCCTCGTCTGGAAGTCAACGTTCCCTCCAGCGCCAAAGTTGCTGCCAGACCAGAAGAAGTCTGAGAACAAAGCGAGTCCTGGTGGTGAAGTTCCCCGAGAGACTCCCTTTCTGGGAATACCAAGGTTGCAGTTTTGCAATGAGTTTGAGCAGATCCAGCTTTGTGCTGCTGTTGAAAGCTTCCTCCTGCCTCTGTCTGTATATTCCTGTGGCTTTCCTTGTGTTGGCACTAACTCCTGGGTGATTGCATGGGGAGCTGGAGCAGGGGACTGATTTTGTTGTTATTGTTGTCGCCAATTAAGTTTTCAGCACCATCCTTTCCTCTATCCAGCCCCAGGCTCATTCAAGCACTAATGCTGTCACAAAGGAAAGAGCAGTCAACTCTTCTGGTAATTAGAGCAGCTTAAATCAGTCATAAAATGTCAACCTCAGCACTGCAGCCCTGTCTGGAGTCAGGGATAGGCAGAAACCAGAGCAAGGCTGTGTTTGACACTGGGAAGTTTAATCCTGCTTGGGAGAGAAAGTACCTAAGCTGTGAATCTTCTTGCTCCTCACTACTCTCTCTCTGAAACAGCTTTCCCGCTGTTGTTCTTTTATTTTAGGGGGTCTTTTTGTTTAGCAAGCCTTGGTTTTTACCTGTGTTTGTTTAGTATCTTCCACAATTAGATTCACGTATTCTGAATCCTGCATGGAAGTGGACATGGGCTGCTTAGTGTGGGTTTGGATTCAGAGCCTGGAGAAATTCTGGTTCAGATCTCTCTGTAACACATGCTGCTGGGCTCCGAGGCCTCTTGCACTAGATCAGCCTTTCAAAAGCATGGATACCCCCTTGGCTACAGGCTGGATGAATGGGAAAACCCTAAAAATGAGGGTTTTGGCCCTTGAAATGGGACTTTACGCCCTAAAAATGTGTCTCTGGATGTTCAAAATGCCTGCTGAGCTAAACAAATTTATAGCAGCTTTTGCTGGACTTCTCTAGTTAGCTGTTATTCCTGGGATCTCAAACAGAGATATGTACTGTCCATACACCTGACTCACAAAAAGTTTTTGGAGCACAGAAATAATGTCTCTTAAAGGAGGAACAAAAGGCTGAACTACAAACACCTGCCACTTACTGCTGCTGCTCTGCCTGTCACACTTTCTTCTCTCAAAGTATCAGAGGTTTGCAGCTACTGAAAGGCAGAAAGAAACTCCTCATGGGCAGGAATGGGAACGCTGGGGAGTCTGTAGCACATAAATGGGGGCTTTTGCTGCTCTAAGTATTGGGGCAGAAATGCCATTATCCAGGGAAGGAATGTCCCTTCTGTTGGCAGGGCTGCTGTCACTTTGTTCTTTACAGACTGACAGCCAGGGAGTTATCCACTCCTTCCCAAATCTACAAAGTGACTCCTTCTCCAGGCTCTCCCTCCTGTGTGAGTGCCACGGGAAGTGATTTCACCTCTGTGAGCAGACCTGGTGTCACTCCTGCAGAGCACAGGTGTTGTCAGTGTGAAGGAGTTGGTGCTCCGGGTGATGTTACTGCTGCTTTCTCAGCTCAGGGGCTCTTTGCCAAGTCATCTTATTTTTCTTTTCCCCAGGGATAGATATTTAAGGAATATATGTTGCAAGCTTGGGTTTGTCGAAATGCTGGTTTCGTTCCTGTTTCCACAGACATACAAGAAGACAGAGAGGTGCCACGGAGGAATCAAGTAACACTAATATCAGAGAGCTAACGCAGGAGTTAGACCTGGGTCTTTCAAAGCTGGTGGCTGATTCTAACCCCCACCTGTTGACACGGAGCTGGATCAATGCCTTAACACAGGCAGGTGGCCTTAGCCAGAGCGTGCAGTATCTTGCAGACCATTAGCAATTTTATTATTTATATTACCCCAGACTTGCCTGACTGCAAGGTAAAGTCTTCCTTGTTTAAAGGGAGGGAGAAATGTCTGAGATTTGAGGGAAAAAAAGAGCAGAGCTGTGTCTGAAAGAAACCCCTGACAGGCACAAGGAGATATTCCTTTACAGCCTACTTAAAGCAATTTGACAGCAGCCTTAAAACCACCTCACACAGAAAGGAGCAAGTGGAAAAGGCCCAGAGAGAAAGGAGGGTTTGTGGGTATTGTTAATCTTTACCTCCACGCTGGAGTAGGGCAGAAGGGAGTGTGGATATTGCTATCCCCTTTTCTTTCCACAGGGGAGGTGAGCAAATGGATGGTGCAGGAATGGGGTTGGTGGATTTGCTGTGTCCTTTTTACCCTCCTTCCCAGCAAGGTGTGCTGTGAGTGTCCACCTGATGCTGGGCAAAGCCTCCCTGTACATCTGTCCAGAACAGGGGGCTGCTGCCTCTCAGGGCTTGTCTGTGCTGACAGTGCCAAGTACAAACTTAGAGTTGCATCACTCACAGGAAACCTGCTTCCCTCCACGCAGCCTTTCTGGTTTCATTTAAGTTTTTATAGCTCATTATATAAGCTAATAAATAGGAGGATCTGGATTAAGAAGGTTTCTTTTTTAATATTCCGCATAGCTGGAGCCCTCTCCACATTCCACCCTGCTGTGATAAAACATCCTGGTGTGCGGGGCAGCTTCATCTCCCTTTGGAGGCCAAAGCAGACCTGCTCCAAATGCGGCTGCCCTGGTGTTCGGTGCCACGTGCCAAAAGAAAGGTCTTGGTGTCACTTTCTCTCAGGACCAGACCTGCACCTGTGGCTTTACGGGTGTGTGGAGTTCGTGTCTGGGACCCAGCCAAGCCAGGGGCAGCAACTTTGGGCTCCATCTCTCATCTCCCTGCCTCATGGAGATGAGCTGGGCTGGTGGAGGGGTCCTGCCTCTCTCTGCAGTGATGGGCTGCACACGTGCCACACCGTGGATTTTATTTGCTTTATTTTTGCAGAACAGGCTAGGCTTTGACGCCCAATGAACGACAACACCCGGAGGGGCTGTGCCCCGAGACCGAGCCCCAGCAAAGCGATGGCGATGCGGTCTCTGGTGTCCGATTCCCTCCGCTGCCCAGCCCGGTGGTCAGCGCGGGAAGACCCGGCAGCACCGACGGGCAGCGGGGCCGCTGAGGCGGCACCGTGAGGGGAGCGCGGCGGCTGCGGGCGGCGCAGTGCCCTCCGCGCTCACCCGTACCCGAACTGGAAAAAAACCTAAAGAGTTTGAGGGAAATATTAATTAAAACCCCCACATAAAATGTTATAAATGCTTGTGGCTTGTGGAGCCGCCGTCGGAAGCTCCGCACCTGCCGTGCCCTCCTCCCTCGGGAGCGGGACCGGCCGAGGCGTCCCCGGGCAGCACCGTGAGGGGAGCGCGGCGGCTGCGTGCTGCGCGGTGCCCTCCACACTCGCGCGTGGCAAAACCGGGGGAAAAAAACCTGAAGAGATGTGTGTGTGTGTGAAATTAATTAAAAAACACACATAAAATGTTATAAATGTTGCGGCTTGCGAACTGCCGGGCGGGCGGAGGGAGCGCCGCCCACCTTTGTGCCGTTTTCACCCCACCACCCCCCCCCCCCCTTCAGGCGAGCGGGGGCCGCTCCCCCCGCCCGGCTGCGCAGCAATCCTAAGTGGCTGCGGGCGCTGTCCCGGGGACGGCGCGGAGGAGGAGTCCCTCGAGGCCCGGGCCTGCTCGACAAAGGCGGAGCCAGCGGGCAGTCCCAGGGCCGCCCCCGGCCCAGCGGGGGGCTCTTCTACGGCTGTGCAGGCGGGCTGGGGCTGGGCGCGGGCGCTCGACAAGATGGCGGCTGGGCGCGGTAGCGGGTGGGAGGAGCGCGCTCCACCTCGTAGATGGCTGGCGCGGCTTGTGGCCCCCTGCTCCCGGGCGCCCGCGGGCTTACATGGCTGGAGAGATCCTGCTCTTTGTCTCTGCTTCTCCGCCCTCACCGTCCTGGCCGTGCAAGGTAGGTGAGGAGGGGAAGAAGGGAGGCTGGGAGGGAGAGAGGGAAGGAAGGGGTCGGTGCCCCCCAGCCCGCGGGCGGTTGCGGTGCCACCTGCCCTCGCTCGGGCAGCGGGCGGTTCCGCGGGGTGGGCTGCCCGGACGGGACCCTCGCACCGCCGGTTCTTACCCTCTGTACGAGCCCTCTCTCCCGCTTAGTGACCATTCTGCCCCAGTCACCCTTTCCCCCCTTCAGTGGCCGTCCCGTCCCTCCGTGGCCATTCCCCCCTCTCTCACCCATCCCCTTCTTCCCTCCCGAGTCGGGCGACAGCTGCGCCCGTGGCCTCAGCCCGTGCCTGGACGGTGCCTCCTTTGGGGTCACCTTTGGAGGGTGACCCTGGGGGTGACACCCTCTCATTTGGAGGGTGACACTCCGCACAGGGCCCCCCCTCAGTGGCGGGGGCAGCGGACCGGCAGCAGCGTTCCCCGGTCTGTGCCTGGACAGTGGCAAGTGCCCTCCGGAGGGTCAGTGGCCGTGCCAGGCTGGCCGGGGATGAAGCGCTTGGCCGGCGTGGCCAGAGCAGGCCCAGGTGTGTATAATGGGGACCCTCGCTGCCCTTCGCTTCGCTGCCGCCGGCACGGAACGTGTGGCCAGGCAGATGTCCCGTTGGGCAAGGAAGTGACCCACGCTCCTCGTGCCCGAGTTTTGCAATGGTTACGCAAAGGGCTCCGTGCGGGGACACACGTACACGGCCGCCGGGCGCGTTTGGGACTTTCTGCGGTTGCTGTCGAAGTTTGCACCGGGGGTCAGTCAAACTGTGGACCTCGGTGTGCACAGATCATTCCCTGTGCATGCACGAAGGTGTAGGCTGGCAGAGTCACTCTGAAAAATGTGAGATGTCCCTCCTAAATGGGTTACTTGTGGTGGAGAAACCATCCCTATGTCATTGTACATTTTTATTCCTTTTATGATGCATTCAGGTTCGGCAGAGCATAATAACAGCACGTGGATGGCTGCAGGGTTGTTTTCTTTCTTTTTCTTCCGAATATTGTGAGCTGCTGTGAAAGGAGTAGGTTATGAGTCGACATAGGTGCTGTGGTAGAAGTGAATAACGGTACATGTAAATGGGCTGTTGTCACCAGTGCCTGTGGGTTTTCCTGGATGGATGGCAAGCTCTGACCCCACCAGCAGCTGGGCTGGGTGGGAGCTGCATCTCCAGCTAAGTGGATCCCGAGGCTTGTAATCGAGAACAATGATCTTTAAAAAAAAAAAAGACAGAAAAAATGGGGGGGAGTGGAGTGGATGTTGTTTTTCCAAACCCCCTTCAACAAGAAAAGTTCAAATGCTTTGCGGGAATTTACAGTTGTGGCTTCTTGGCGTTTTTTGTGAGCAATTAGGACACGAGTGAAAATTGTTTCTGTTTGTTTTCTAACAATGGGCCACATCTTGTGTAGGGAGGCAGGGAGTGCGTCCGTGCAGTCCCTGGACGTGCGGCTTGGTACATGCTGATGTGCTTTCCAACAGGTGGGTTTGATTCTGAAAAGAAAAACATGGACTTGTTTCAATGTGAAATTAATTTGGCAGAGAGTTGAAATGGTTTTGGGAAAGTCTGTGTTTGATCCCAAAACCCATGTGTTTTCATCCAAAGTTCAAACCTCGCTGGGTATGGAGTACCTAAGAGAGAAGTAGAGTAGAAAACCTTCCCCCCCTCTGGACTTGATGGAAGCAGTGGCACTTGCTGGGGATGTGATCCAGTGTTTTTGAAAGCCTTCTGCTGTCTGACTTTGAGCCTGTTTTCCCTGCAGTAGCAGGAAAGTATTTAAGGAAAAAAAAAACAACCACAAAACAACCCCTCTCCAGTTGACTCCGGCAAGGGGGTTGTGCTGGTGCCATTCCTTGGGGCTCTCTGCAGGGAACGTGTTGATGGGAAGTGGGCTGAGCTTTCCATCTGAGGGATTAGCTGAAATCCATCTGGGTTTGTGTCATTTGGGTTTGTGGTTGAGTCTTTTTGCTATGGAACAGATTTCCTTTTTCGACATCACCTTACTTGAGCCGTGATTTGTTTTATCCTTCCTGTTACGTTCTCCTTGGCAGCATGACCCCGCTGCCTGCTGAGTGCCTGTGCCGGGGAAGTCGGCATTCCCATTGTTTGGGAATCACTGTCACCCGCCTGCGGATCCGCCGGCCCCGTGCCTGTGGTGTTGCAGTGTCACTGGTCCGAGGGATGGGAGATGCAGGGATGACATGTTTCCTATGGCCCCCAAGAAATGGGGGGCACTGACAGTGCCAAACCTCGTGTGCACAGCGAGGGTTTGCCTGTATCCCATTTCCAGGGGCAGGTCTCTCCCACCAGAGCTTGCTGCCGCTGTGCCAGAGCTGTTGTGACAGGCTGCTCCAAAGTGGGGAATGTTCCTGCTGGCATTTCACTGTTTCTCTTCTGGCGTGTGAGCCTGAAGGAGAAACAGCTCAGGCTTGGTTCTGGTTTTGTTTTCCCTAGCTTTTCCTTCTTTTTTTTTTTAATGCCCTCTCCTTTCACTACCTTGAAGTCCAGAGTGAAGCAGGACCTGCTCGTTTTCAGGCATCTCCTCCCTCTTTTGCAGCAGAGTTTCTCCCGGCAGCTGCAGCAGGTTTGATGTGCTGCAGGGGCCCCACGGGGGTGGGTGACTACTGGTGGTGCCTGAGCCACCTCGGGTGCAAGTAAGAATGGAAAATAAAATGTCTTGCAATCTACCTTTCCTGGGGATGAAGGGAGACGATTCTCCCTGTGTGCAGCCTGGTTTGGAGCTGGCGGCAGCTTCTGTGGGACAGCACAGAGGCACCAGGGCCACATGATTTCAGGAACAGCTGAGCTGGGCTGGGGGTTGCATCCAGGACATCTCACCTGAGTGCCCACTGTGATGCTGGGCCAGTGGCTTCACCTGCCCTGGAATCCTCATGGCCCATCTTTAGACAAATGTAGAGATGTTCCTCTCTGTCAGAGGTGTGGAGAGGATGAAATCCATCCCTGGGGATGTAATCCATCAATAAATGCTCAGCATATATGTGATCTTTGTCACTCTAGTGTACAGCTATCCTGAGGACAGGGTGCTGGGCTGTCCCATGGATTTCTGACTCCTGGTCCCATGTTGCTTGCCAGATGATTTGAATTCTTACCTCCCTCGGGGCTGCTTTCCCAAAGGCTGGCTGTTCTCCTAGGGAAAAAATCCAGGTGCCTGTGAACCAGTCTGGGCATTTACAGCATAAGAGATGTTGCTTTGGACCATTTACACGCTCCTCTCCTGTTTAAATGGCTGCAAGGCTATTAAGCCTAGTCATGGTTATATAATTAAGATGGGAATTAATATTTAATCTGATTGTAATTTGTTGCTGGAATCCATCCCAAACTGTATCTCTGCATGAGGTGAGTGGGTACCTGAGGGAAAACTCAGGCCAGTGTTTCACGTAGGGGATTTTTTGCTTGGACACTGGGAATTACAGGCCTGCCTTGGGTGACAGAGAAACCCTAACCTTTACAAACCCTGAGTGATCATAGTCATTTTGTTATCAGTAGGAAGCAAATGTTTGTTTTATAGTCAGCTGTAATACTAGAGGGGATATGGTAAATCCCTGTTATCAGTATTTGCCAAGTGCATGTTGGGCCAAAATCAACTCTGGTGCAATTTTGTTACTTTCTGGAGAAGAACTGGACCTGCTTTTCTACAGTATTTTTAGCCTGGTTTTTGAAGGAGAAGAGCTGTCGTGCTATCTGGTTGTCTGTCCATCTCCCTTTCCTTTTCCCAGTAATTCTGGATGTGCTGGTCAGTCAGAACTGGTTTGAATATGGAGAACTTAGGGTTTTTGCAAATAAGCAACCAAATAGAGGAACGAAATGCAGTTTCTGCATGGACTGAAGGAGAGGCACCAGCAAACCTACCTGGGAAGGAACCTGAAGTGCCTCAGCTGCCGGTAGAGCTTTGAGCAGGTCGTGCACCTTGTTTGGGTGGGACAGGGCAATCCACTCGCAGCACACAAAGCTGCAGGAAATCACCATCTCAAGTCTTGTAGACACTTGTTTATTTTTGGAGTCTTTTCTGCTGTAAAACATGCTGTTGTTTTATGATTACACCAGTGTTCATGTCACAAGGCTTGGTGACGCTTTTGCTTTCCTCTCTTCTTGGGAAAGCACTTCCCAAACACAGGACTTGGAGCTGCTGTGACTTTGACTCTTTCCAATGTCTTTGTGATGGTCACTTGCTGTCTCTGCCTCAGTTTCCCCATTTGTTCTGCTGGGCAGGAGATGCTGTTGCACACTGTAAACACGAAGAACACCATCACTCCAAGTACCCTTGCATTTATTAAATCCCATGAGTAGGGGACCTCCAAGTTCTGCTTGTGCTTTTCTGACTTAACAGCTTGTTGGTGAGAGGATCCACAGTTGCTAACCCTGAATCTGCCATCTTCACAGAAAGCAGGATTGAGCTGTGTTTTCACATAGCCCCTACAGAGCTGCTAAACCCCCACCAGATGTGGGGGGAAGTCTGAAGAGCTTCTAGTTTGTCTGGCTTTGAATATGCTGAAGCCATCCTTGAAACATGGTTGAATCTCCTAGTTCTGAAAAGTAATGGAGTCTTCAAGGGAGAGGAAGAGCTGATGAGTGTTTCCTTGCAGAAGGGTAAATATCTGCTGGAACTGCAGCTGCTGAGAAGGGAAATTCCCTGGGAGGGCCCAGCCAGGTGCCATCAGCCTTGTTTGAGCTAACACTGTCCTGTGTGCGGGTGTCAGGACACTTTGTGAGCGTGGAGGTTGTGGAGCTTCTCTCCTGAATGTGTTTTCCTTCATGTCACTGATGCCCTTTGGTGTCTGTGTTTCACTCAGATCCTCTCCTGCTCCTAATCCATGGAATCCTGCTGCTCTGATATGGGCTTGCTTTATCTGAGAAGTCCAGCAGCTGCTGTGTCTTATCTCTGTGGGTAATAAACATACTTTGTGGTGGTTATGATAAGCAATTACTGTATTCCAGGGAAACTTTCATATCAGATGTTCTG